TGTTATTATTATTACATTATTGCTTTTAAAGATATTGATTTTAATGTATTTGACTTTTATACATTTTGTGAATAAAATTGGAAAAAAAAAATAAGTAAATCTATATACTGTAGTTCTTTATTATGAAAAAAAAATTATCTAGTTGTATAATTAATTAATTACTACGAATAAATATTTTATTATTTTTATGTCATATTGTATGTTTTTTATTGCATATAAAGTTGAAAAATTTTTTTTAATTCATCATGATAAATTTTAATTGGATGGAAAATCATTAAATTTTCAGTAAAATGTCTATTTGGTAAACTGTATATTCAGTAAAGAGAACCTTCAGTGAATAGGTCATTCAGTAAAGTGGACTTTTGGTGAACTGGATATTTGGTAATGTGGACCTTCAGTGAACGGGTCATTCGGTAAGATGGATCTTCGAATAAACGTCTATTCAGTAAGATGAACTTTCGAATAAACGTCTATTCGACCAAATGGGTTTCGGTAAATTGGGTTTTGGTCAAAAGTTCGGATACGTTTTTTAAGCTTAATTGCATATAATGATAATTTAAAAAACAGATTATTAAATATCATTATAAATAAAATAAAATAACTTTATTATTTAGTCTTAACTTTTTAATATCATATGCAGGAAGTCTATACTTAACAATAAAAATGTAATACTTAAAATCTTTTAAAATTTTTAAAAAATAAAATTTAAAAGAAATCAATTGATAATTTTGTTCTTTAAGATAAGCTCTATTAAATTACCAATCAGATTTATAAAATAAGTTTTAGATAAAACGTTATAAATGATTAAGTTACATGATTTTTATATGATTAGTTCAAATTTGAAATAAAGTCAAATTATATTTATATGATTTTATTAATCATAACTTATAGGTAGTGTGCTATTAAAAATTGAGATACAAATCATATGAATTACTATGTCTTGTATCTCAATTTTAATAGCATACCACCCTTATGATAATTCAGATTAATACTATAATAATCATAGTACTAGCCTGAATTATTTATCATAATTAAATAAATTTAAAATCTTTGATATATTATATATTTAATTTGATTTAAAGATCCTAATTTATTTTTAATTTTTAATTTTCAATTAATTTACATTCAATATACCAAGTGTTGATTACTTTTATATTGCTAATATTCAAGAAAGTTTAAAGAATTTACAAACATAATTTTTATTAATTATGGTTCTAATTCATTTTCTTCTTTATTTATACAAATTTTGATTATTTTGATTAGTTAATATTATATCATGTGATATTATATTAGTACTGAAAATTTAAAATAAAATCATGTGATTGTTTAGTATAGATTTCTGATACCTTATCAAATATTTTTTTTTTAAAAAATATATAATATAAAATAAATTTTAATTACAATTAAATTTATTATTTTATTATAAATATTAATTATCATATTTTAAAAATTTTAAGCTTTAAAGATAAACAGAATTGTTTAAAGCTTCTATTATATTCAAAGTTTACTTATTTTAATTATTAAGCTAATTAATCAATGATCTAATAATATAAATTTTAACCAAAATTTAGATTTCTACTTTTTCTACTGGATGGCTCCTATTTAAATATTATATTTTAATACTTTTTTTATATAAGATACATCTTTCCAATTTAAATTTTTTATTAACTTTATCTATAAAATCATTAAATTATTTATTAAATGTTATTTTTTTTGATTATTTTGAATCAAAAAATTTATTGAAATATTATTTTACCATTATTACTTTCAAATTTATTGCTTTCAAACTTTTGTTACCTTTTTTTTAAAAAAAATGAAAAAGGTTATCAATAATTTTAGCATATTTAAAATGTGTTATTTTAACTGGTAAAATAATATTTAATTTTAATTACTAATATCTGAAGAAATTGATTGACTTCATAAATTTCTTATGAATTTTGCAGAGATTATCATGCTATTTAAAGATCTACTCTTATAAAAGCATCTAGATTATTTGTTGTTATAGATCTAATTTCTGATGATTCTATAATATCAGTTGGATTTTTCTATATAATACTATTGAATCTATATCAAATTTTCTCAGGTGCTTGCCTTTTATTTGGACCAGGATCCCAGCATTCTTTTATTAGTTCAATATAGCATTCAAGTGTTATAATATCACCTGTTAGAGAATATAAATATCTGATATTATGGTATATTTGTCTTTAAAGAACCTCTGGAATCATATAAGGAATAATTCCATATGTTTCATTAACGTCAGCTTTTGTAGCAGATTTACTTAATTCTAAATCCCCTATTTTACTATATTTGCCATTATTATTGTCATCTACCAAAATATTTCCACTATGCAAATCATGGTGGATAATAGATTTTCATGAATTTGTGATAGGCCATATGCAATATCCCATAATTGATCTAACTTTTCTGACCATCTAACATAAAAAAATCTTTAGCTATATAATGGATAGTATTACAATAAGATATAATTATAATAAATTCTTTAGTACTTCCATAATACTTATTAATAATATTGCATATTTTTAATTGGTAAAATATTTTAAGCTGAAAAAAGATTATTAACTTAGTATGTATCATAATAAATAAAAAAAGGAAAATTTATATATACCTCGTTTAATTCCTTAGAAGTAAAGTTTTTAGAATTGTTAAATTTCTTAAGAGCAACTTGTTTATCAGAACTCTGATTATATTTGTGTTTTTTGTTATTCCAACTTATAATTGGATTATCAATCCAAGTAGCTTTATAAACTTTACTAAATTCTCCCTCACCAATAATTTCTATATTTTTGAATTGATCATATGGAACAAACTCCATTTTACATCCATTTTCAAACAAATGAATCTGAGTGTGTTTGATAAAATCGTCAATAATTTTGTTTCCACTTGGATTAAGTATTGTACTTGATTTATTACAAGAATAGCAAAGCTTATTATTTTCTTCTTAAGGTATTCTTTTTTTACATTTATTACATTTCTCAAATTTATATTTAGGCTTTAAATTAACCTCGGTTTGCATTTTCTGCTTGATGACTTAATGTGTCTTGTCTTTTGACATTAAAAGTCGATTTTATGATTTTATGTTTAAAATTTATTGATCATTAGAACTTGTTTCAAAAATTACTTATATATTTATTGATTTTGTGCAAATAGAGTGCTTAATTTTCAAAAGAAGTTCCATATTCAAATAGGAATTATACAATAGAAATTTCTTCAAGTAAATTCATTCGAAAATTCTAACAAATTACAAATGTACAAGCTTTTTGACGTAACGCGAATAAGTGAAAATCGCACATTAGATAGGATATCACAAACAATGACAACAATTTGTTTATTTATTTGTTCTGGACTATCTCTTAAGAAAGTACACTGTAATTCATAATAATGAGTACAAAAAAAGTATTTTCCTAAAAGAAAAAAAAATTCGATAAATCCTTTCCATAACAAAAAAAAAAAAAATAGAAATAGAAAAAGCTTTTGCGCTTTATCAATCGGAATTAAGTATTATATTGACCGTTAATATATATGTAATGAAAACGCAATTATAAAATAAAGCTGATTTTAAACTTGTTCTGTGGAACCAAGTCAAAGTTTTAATCATTCGGACTTTCCTCAAGTACTTTTGCAAAATCTACTAATTTTTGTAAATGAAATTCATCTGCCACAAATATTTTAATAATTTCTGAAATGTTATCGTAACGATTTAATGAAATGAATCCGCCATAATATACTTGTTGAATGAAAAATTCTTTGAAAAAATTTAAAATTCTTTCCTTTTTAAATAATGATGATAATTAAAGATGCCTCCCTAAACTATTTTTAGAAAATGTGAGTTTCGAGATATTTGAGATCAAACTATTTGTTTATGATAAATATCTTTATCTAAACTTTTAATAGGTTTTCCTAAACTCAATTAAGTTTTATCAAATTTTAGCTTTAAAAAAAAGTCATTTAAAGGTTTAAGCAACACGTTAAAATAGGTTTCGAACAGCATCATTAATGATAATAAAATCCATTATAAAAAAAAGATTCGTAAAGTCTCTTTATAATTGAAAATAATTTGAAATGTTCCGGTGAAATATTTGAAATTTTCATACGACATCTTTCTTTTTAGATAAATTTCGTCTGAAATATGGAGAACGATAACTCAAAATATTAGATGTGCACTAAAACTTGACATCATCATAATATTCATCATCATTATCTAAGATTCAATATAATTATCGAACAAAATTTTTTTGAAGCAAATTTGTGTCGCACAAATAGAATATACTCGGAATTTGATCAATATCAAAATAAAAAATTTATCGATAATATTTTTTTCAATTAGATATAACGGACTTTATAGAAAAATCAAGAAAGCTTGAAACAAAAATTATAGTAAATAAAAAAAATCTGACAATAAGTTTTATTCAAGTTTCTATCATGATAAAGTTGTTTATGATATAGTGTACTGATCGTTTTTGCTACATATTAGGTATTTCTACTTTATTCAAATTAAATATCAAATTCCAATTTTTTCGACACATAAGTTTTATCTTCCAATAATTTCATTTTTTTATTGCTTTTATCTATAAAATCATTCAATATATTAATGTTGATTTTTGAAAGGTATAATTTTATTGAAATTACTATACCATCATTATTTTCAAATATATCGCTTTCAAACTTTCTTTTACCTTTTTTTTAAAATAAAATGGAAAAAAAGGTTATTAATAATTTTAGCATATTCAAAATGTGTTATTTAACTGGTTGTAAATTAAATTTTTAATTACCAAAGTCCGAAGAAATGGATTGACGTCGTAAACTTCTTGTGGATTCTGCGGAGTTTATCATGCTATTTAAAGATCTACTCTTATAAATAGCGCCTGGATTGTTTGTTGTTATAGGTCCAATTTCTGATGATTCTACAATACCTGTTGGATTTCTTCGTTCAGATTCATACATGTTCCAAATTCTACTACTGAT